AGAGGTGCTTTGGATGTGGCAGGGTAAATTAGCTCATCTTCTAATATTAGTGTAGACACATCTGAGGTATAGCTGTGCCTGGTCTGGTCTGCCCACTTATTTAGGGATATCAGTACATCCCAGGGTGCTGTCTGCACGAAGCTATGCTGTCAACTAAGGTATCACTACACAGCACTGCCTTCACCTTGTAGATGTACCTGCTGCTTCATATCTGACACTGAATAAGCACCTTTCTTGACATTCTTGTCAAAGGAACAGTGAATATAACAGGTCAGGAATATTGAATAACCTTTTGCCAGTAGAGTTGTGGTCTCTTCAGGTCAGAGGGTATGTGATGTCAGGCTTGTGCAGGAGAACCCATGTATTGCATAAGCTGGAGAACACCACAGCCACCTGCTTTCACAGATGAAGTTCCCTGTACAAAATACTGCTTTCACTGACTTCTAGGAAAGGATAAAAATACACTCAGAGTTTCACTGCCTAAATAGTCTTCTAAACTTCTGTAATGCAAAACTAACTTGTTTAAAATTCTGGCAATTTATTGAAATTTTAAACAACGCAGAATTTTTTATTCAAATAAAAGAAATTGTTTTTACCAGTCATCTTTCCCACGGCAGTTTTAAAGAAAAGTAAACAATTGGGAGAAGCTTCTGTGTAAGCAGCTGAAACCTGTTTTGTTGTTAAGATAAGAAGCTAGTTTCTGATAACTGAAACAATTCCTGTGGGTAGAGAAAAGGTTCTTTCTTTGCTTCAGTTTATTCAGTTCAGCTTTATAACTGAGCTTATTTATGGTTAAGTGAAAGAAAGAAAGAAAAGCTTGTATTTAATGAAAAATTAAGGTACCTTGCTTCCTGTTTGGTTAAAATGATTTATGGTTCTTTAGTAAAATAGCTAAAACATATACTATTTCTAATGTATGACATTTTTGTTTGTGATTTGCTACATCTTCACAGATATTTAAATCACTGTCACTTAGATCAGTCTGCTCTACAGATTGTACTGGAAGTTTGCAAGTGTAAGCCAGGCCAGTGGTTCCATATGTGCAGGCAAGAAAAACAGAGGCTTTTTACAGCCTGGACCCATTTCTGCCTTAGTTGTTTTTGTTTCTGTCTAATATTAGGTGAGGAGTGTTAATCCTATTTTCTACAGTAGTATATGCTGATTTCAAAAAGCAGAATTATCTTCAGTTCCTCCTGTGGAGTGTGAGTTCCCTAAAGGGGAGAAATGAAAGTCTGAGTGCAACAGGCTAGCATCCAGGTCTTTGCTTGGATAATTTTTCCTAATACATTAAAAACGTCTAAAAATAGTCCTTGATTTTTTGCTCCTGTAAGGATAGGGAGATCTTGTTTATGGCATATTTCATTATCATTATTATTATGTCAGGTGTGTATATTTAGATGGCTTTGCATGTTAAATTTTGAGATTTGTAGGTAGAAATATTTTTCGGGTTTTGTTATGTTCATAAGATGATTGTATTTGAGCTAAATTTTTTTATACTTCCAATTTGTACTTGAAATATCTGTTGGATTATACAAAATGAGAGGAGAATCTTGTGGGGTAAATGCCCATTTGCCCTGCTTCCTGGTAGTAAGAAGTACTTTAAAAAAGAAAAACATATAAAAACTCTTGGAATTCTGACTTCAGCCTTGTGCTCTCCACAAAATGACCTAGATTGTCCTGTTTCAATTTCCTAAGTGCAATAATCTTGTAGAGATGCTTAGTGTGCTCTCAGGGTGTGAAATTTCCTGCCATATACTTATTGAATCAAACTGGTTAGCGGAATCTGAAAATAGCTTATAAGGCAATGCTGTCACTTAAATGTTCATAATATTGACTGCTTAGAGAGGTTTAACCCCTCAAATCTGAAAAGAGAGATTTGTCTAATCTTCATTTATTAGGATGAAATTTCCCTCTAAGGACATCTTATATTGTTTCCGTTGTGGTGGATTTATCCACATCTGTGATTCACCTTGTATTGGTGTTTGATGGAGGCAGTGACTGTGCAGAGGGACTGGAGAGTAGATGACAAATTATTTCTAACATAACATGGAGATTCAGTTAAAGTCACTTCACTTTCCACTTGTAAGATACATGTTTGGCCAAAATGTGCGTGTGCAGATTGCCTCTCAAAAATGGTAAGTTCTATTTATAGGTATTAAGGGTACTGTTTGCAAATGTCTGGGAGCTGTGCAGTGTTTCACCCACCATGTTAAGAATGGGCTTTTTTGTATTTGAGTAGGCAGATGTCAAGGAAAAGTGTAGAAGACAGCAGCAAACCATGTCATAGGTTCAGTAGGTGGCACTCTTTCTCTGAAATTACTGTCCTGGTAAAATATTTGTGGGAGCGTTCTGCTGAGAGAGGTGTGTGTTGAACATGACATAAAATACAATTTGATAACTTGATCGTTGTAGCTCCTACAATGCATTTTCCAGGGTTATTAGGTTGTTAACCTTGCTTGTAATGTGTAATTGCATTTTGTCTACTGCAATTCCTCCTATAAATCCAGTAGGTTGTGATAGCATTCTGCACTTTTTGCCTTAAGCTGATTTATAGATGTGCTGTGGAAAAAGAAGCTCCTGCTTTGTCAGAGATGGATTAAGTGTTTCATCCTATTTTTAGAGTTTTTGCACTAAGTCTACACAAAATGTTGCAGTTGAAATGGAGCAGCTCTTCAGCAGTATCTATTGTGGGAAACTAGTACCACTAACAAAAGCAAGAAGTTGGCAGACATTTCAAAAGTGATAGGATTTTAATAAGAATTAGCACATGTATAGTGTTCCTTAAAAATGTGTTTTCATTTTCTGAATACTTATAATATTGTGTCCAGCAGAACAAGGGAGGTCCTCCTCCTGCTCTGCTTTGCCCTGGTGAGACCTCACCTGGAGTGTTGTGTCCAGTTCTGGGCTCCCCATTTCAAGAGGGACAGAGATCTACTCGAGAGACTCCAGTGAAGGGCTACGAGGATGATTGGGGGACTGGAATGCCTGCAGTATGAAGAGAGGCTGAGAGACCTGGGGCTGTTTAGTCTGGAGAAGAGAAGACTGAGGGGGGATCTAATTAATGTGTATAAATAGATGTGGGCTGGGTGTCAGGAAGGAAGGGGCAATCTCTTCTCACTTGTGCCCTGCGATAGGACGAGGGGCAATGGTCACAAGCTGGAGCACAGGAAGTTCCACCTCAACATGAGGAAGAACTTCTGTACTGTAAGGGATCCAGGGCACTGGAACAGGCTCCCCAGGGAGGTTGTGGAGTCTCCTACTTTGGAGACTTTTAAGACCTGTCTGTATGTGTTCCTGTGTGACCTGCCCTAGACTAGATGGTCCTGCTCTGGCAGGGGGGTTGGACCTGATGATCTCCAGAGGTCCCTTCCAACCCCTAACATTCTGTGATTCATTTTAGGAGGTAAGCAGGAATAAGGATACTGAATTTGCAAGCTTGTTTGGTTAAAATGCCAAACAACTGTCTCTTCTTAAAAAAATAAAGTGTAAAAGGTATTACCTAGAAAAAATAACATTATGTTTTTCCAGGCAAGCTGTACATAAAATGCTGAGCAGTGTCTCAGAAGGATGTATTTATCTGATAGAAGATTATCTTTCTTTTGTAAAATCTTTCTGTTGTGACATATAACTAGGTTTTCTCTCTAAGTTAAAGACATTTGGCCATGTTTATGAGTTTTTTTTTAAATATTTCCATTCCTCATTTTTCTCTCATTGTGATAAAATCAACAAAAAACAACTCTATAATAGGAAGAGTTTAAACAGATATCTTAATTTTTGTGACATTCATGAGGTGCAAAAGTGCTGTGGCTTTTCTCATATTCCAACACTCATTTTCATTAAATGTCCATTTCAAAGAAAGTTACTATGTGGTTTTAATACACGATACATACTTTTAAATTGTCACCAGGTGCATTCGCATGAGGTATGTGGACATAATGTCTTGAAATGAAACACTTAAGTGTGTTGAAGATTTACTGTATGTTTGGAATGCTTGTGTGATTAACCCTTCCCTAGTCCTTTTATTTATAAGTGTCCTTTAACATGGACTTGTCTTTTTATAGTCTTTCTTAGACTATTAATTCACATTGACCTTATTATGACAGAAAAACATCTCAATGCACATGTTTTTAATGGAAATAGAATACAAATGTTGATAGTGTTATGCCTATACTTGCTGTATAGGACATTAAGTAGTTTCTGTATGTGAGAGTCCATCCTAAAATGGGGAGCTGCCTTGTTTCATGTAAAATAGTTTTAAATCTTGTTACTTGTCCATTCAGAGACTGAAAGAGTTATGAACTTAATGTGAGGAGCTGTATGAAAGTAGTTTTAGGATAGCTTACATACTGACTGGCATGAGGAGGCAAGTTTGCCTAGATCCAAAGATAAAGTACATGGTCTTCATTTAGGACATTTCTGGTAATACTCAGTTGTAGTAGAAGCTATCCATATGAAAAACGATGCAGAAAGGTATTTGGTGGCACTTACTAGGTATACATCTGTAACAAGATATTTTACACCTATTTTGTATACTTAGTTCATTCTGTTCTGATTTCAGATTCACATCAGATTATACTCCTTGTGAATACACTTGACCTAAGTGGGTCTAGAGTGGTTAATTCCAAGTAGAATGAGCCCCTGTATTTAGAATGCACAGAAGAAAACATACATAATTATGTATAACTGTCTCTAGTTGTACTCTGACAGTTTCATCTTCCTACATAATCCATGTTTGATTGAGTTAGTTGTACATCTTTAAAAAGCCAGTTTGCATTAGAAACGTAGCCTGTTAAGTTAATGCAACTTCTTACTGACAGTCTGCTTAACATTCCATTTACTTAGCTTCATGAATATATATCAGCTAACAAAATATTGTTTGGAGTCATTGTTTGACACCCAAGCAAAAGCCTGTTTCTGTATTAAAACTCTTAAGCTGAACAATAGTTTCATTTTCATAGTCCAATTAAGTTGTTTTATGGCAATATTATTCTTCCTTATAGTTAACACAAGAAGAATGTAGGGCTACACTGTACAAATACAGAACTGAAGAGCTGGATATTGATGTAAGTAATTTGGAAATGTTGGTATTTGTCTCTTTATTTTGATAATAATTTCCACCTTTTGGGTTTGAAATGGTCTTCATATAGGTGGTTACCAACTGAAATTGCTTTGTGAAATTGAGAGGCATAAGACTCTTTTTGTAATAAGCTTCTAAGTTGCAGGAAGTATTACATTTTAGGTTGAAATTTCAAGTATTACATCTATTCAAAGGTCAATTGCTTCTAGAAAGGATTGAATTACTTTAAAAGGAAAAAAAAAAGCTCTGTAGCTGTAGTTCAGTTATAGGCATGAGAGATGTAATTTCTCAGGAAATTTGATTGATACTCCAAAACTGAAATTTGGCACGGGTAGTTACCATTCAGAGTATTGAGCTGCTAGTTCCTAAACAATAGGGGCTTGGTGTAAAATTGGTAGTGAAAAATAGACACACATAGTCATACTGTAGATGCATACATATGCATGGCTAGTCATTCTGGCACAATGCAAGTAAGAGCAGACATAACCATTTAAGGGATGTTACTTTAAAAGTGAAAAAGAAAGCAGACTTCCACTGTTACCTTAGAGTTAAAAAGTCAGAGCAGCACAAACTGAACTGAAAGATTGTTCAAATAGAAAAAGTAAATTGTTTCAAATTGGTCAGAGAGCACTGAACAGTTATTTACTCAAACTGGAGCTGGAATGGAACGGTTTTAGTCATAGCCTTTATCAGAGCTAAAACAGAGCAGAGTGTGGATGGTACTAGTAACTAACTATTAAAAAGTACCACCTGAAATAAACCATAGGAAAAACTGCATGTGTATACAATATTCCTTACAATACCGAGGAATGTGTAAATTAAAACGGTATTTAATACCTATTATTAAGTTGTAAAGATCTAGCTGTAGAGTCATAAATGATACATTTTCAGCCATGCTGTTTCAAGTTATAATAACACTTATTTCATAGTATCTTAAGAGGATTCCTTAAGTTTCCTTGATTTGAAAACGCAAGAGTGATGCCTTCATAACTTCAGAATTCATATTTTGTGGTAATAATATTTCATATGTATTCATGTAATGATGTGATCAAGTTACATTTTGATTATTGAACATGTTAAAAATTAAATCCTAATTATAATTATTTTCTGTTCCATATTAGGCTAAGCTTAGCCGTTTATGTGAACAAGAGAAAGTTGTACAAGCACTGGAGGAGAAGCTTCAACAGCTACACAAGGAGAAAGTAGGACAATTGTATTTATTACCTAAAGTGGATGTTATTTTGTGTGCTTATTATCAGAACACTGCTAACTTAAAACGAAACTCAGCCCAATGATGCAGAACATTAAAAAGAATTCTTTTTATTACAATAGTACACGCTTGAGCAAGCTTTGCTGTCAGCAAGCCAGGAGATAGAAATGAATGCAGATAATCCAGCAGCCATACAGAATGTAGTCCTACAGAGGGATGACTTGCAGAATGGACTGCTCAGCACCTGCCGAGAAGTATCGCGAGCTACGGCGGTAAGTGAGACGTTCCTGCCACTAAAACTCCATGAAGTGTTAAATGGTTACCTTCACCTTCATATCCTTAGTTGCCTTCTCTTTGGATATGTTTATTTACATTCCAGAAAAACTCAGTTGTCTTTTACTTGCTTGTATTTTTGTCAAAAGAGCTGGATAGTGATCTCTTCACTCAGTCATTGAGTCTTTTTTTGATCGTTTGGATTTGGCCCAGGAATGCTGACTTAACTGTTGTGGTAATTTTCTTCTTTATAATAAGAAAAATTGAGTACAGAAGAAATAAACAATGCAAATAATAAGCTATTTCATGTGATGGCAAAATAATAGCAAGCACAAACTTTATCAGATATTTGATATTTGATATTTTTTGCTGTTTTAAGCAAAAGCAGCTGCAGGATGAAAAGAAGAAAAGATTATTCTGTCACAGTCTCTAACAGTGGACCGTTACATTTAAAAGACATTTCAAGTTATACTTCCAAAAACCTTAAAAACAAAGCCATGAAATTTACTGTCCTTTTCCACTTCATGATGGAAATGACAAGGCAGAGTAATTTTCATCTACTTAGGTATATATCCGAAAAAGCATTTCAGTCTCAAATTCCAGTGGTTTGCTGTGTTTAAATTGATAGAAAGTAGGCCCTGCAGTTCTACTTTTAGTCTGAACTTGAGGCTACCTTGTAAAAAGAACGGGTTGGATAAGGAAAAGGGGATCAGGAAAGGAAATCCTCAAGATGTACTTTCCCCCGTTGACTTTTTAATTCATGCTAAGTTGACGAAATTGCTTGATATAGGCTTAAAAAGTGAGACAGTAGAGCTGACCTCAAAGAAAATTTTCTTCTTGCACCTTCTCCCTTCTGGTGTTGGTAGTTTCACTTATGTAAGATAATGGTGTATTAGCAGGACTGGAGCATTCACTGGTAACCTTACAGGCAGGGCTGGATGACTTCCGCTTGTCTTGCACAATATGTTGCATATACATGCACATTCTGTGATCTCACACAGGTATTCTATATGTTAAAAGATAAATTTGCATCCATTTTTGTGAGTTTTCTGCCTCAGAAGGACAGCTTAAGGCCCACATACCTGCTGACTATAAAGACGTACTCTAAAGATTTTTTCCCTTGCCTATCTTTTTAGTTTGTGAAAAGACAAAATGCCGTTTGCTTGGATTCCATTCAGTATCATTAGAAAATCAAAAAGCTGTTCAAACATTCCATTCTCTAAAAAGCATATTTATTTATTTATTTATTGCTGATATCTATTTTTAGGCATTACTTCCTGAAGTTTCATGCTGGTGCATAAAGAAAAGTTGCTGGGTTTTGTGGTTTTGTTTGGTTTGTTTTCTTTTTTTTTTACTTGAGTGTGTATCTGTAATTCTTTACTTTTGTTACATAGGAACTAGAAAGAGCTTGGAGAGAATATGATAAATTGGAGTATGATGTAACTGTAACAAGAAATCATATGCAGGAGCAACTTGATCGTCTTGGAGAAATTCAGGTGTGGCACAGGTCTTAAAGTACACATCATTCACTTTTATTTGCTATGGTTTTCTTTAAAAACTATACAAATGAAAGAAGTGGGACATGTGGTGCATTACCTTACAAGGTATTAAAAGACTGAGTTCTGAGGTTTTCAGCTTTTCCTATTATTTTGAAGTCACAGCACTGATTTTCCTGTGTCTGGAAGCCTCCTTTTTCTCTTTCAGTGATGGGGTCCAGAATGGGGTATTTTTCTCAGACCTTAATTGCTACGACAGTCATATTCAGTCCTCACACAAATCCTTCTATTTCACTGAATATTTTAAAATGTAATTATATCTTTCTATCAGAACAAACTGTAATAAAAATGTTCTAGGCATTGCTTCAGCTCTTACATATCAAGAGTTCTGACTTGTATCTTATTACTTCACAGTGCTGTACTGTGGAGGATTGGACAGTTAGAAGAAGTTCTGGATGTCTAAGGAGACCTTTCTGTGAGATACACACAGAGAGATCTGTATATATTATCCTGAATAGGTAGATGGGTGTGGTCCATGCTGGGAGGCATTAAAGGCTCTTTGCTCCAGGGATTGATTTTCTATGCAGCTGTGAAAGGAACATTACAAGGAAAGCCAAGAGATGAGAAATTTGTGTTACGCAGTCCAAAATGTGGATGACCATGAATGCAAATAGGCCCACTGTTAATGAGCTAGTATGCAAACACCATGTTCATCTCCACTTATTTTAGGGCTGAAACTGATGTTTCCTGTTCTTTTGTTGTACGTAGGTCTCCTGTGCAAAGTTTGCTTGGATTTTCTTCAGACACAGTAGATACAATCCTGTTCTTAAGTGGAGCTTGAACTAGCAAATTGCTGTCAAATTCAATTAGACAATATGAAATTTGTTAATCTTTTTGTTTCTGACAATATTTGAATGTTTTTCAAACAAGTGTTTTTCAAAACATGAAAAAAAAAAAAATCTGTTTTTTTTTCCTCTTTCAATGTATTCTAATTTATTGCCTATATATGCTGTTCATTTACTGGCAGACTGAGTCAGCAGGGTTACAGCGTGCTCAGATTCAGAAGGAACTGTGGAGAATTCAAGATGTCATGGAGGGTTTAAGTAAACATAAACAGCAAAGAAGCTCTTCAGAGGCAGGTAAACTGATTGTTTTTATCTCATAGGAAGTGAGATTAGGTCATACACATTTTGAAAGGATACGCTCCACAGTTGCTTTTGTATGTTTGAAGAAATAGTATTATTGCTGAGAGAAGAAAGCAATCAAGTTGATGTTTTGTGTGTATTTGTTTAATAGCAACAGGTTATAGTTGATATTTTAACAGCTGTTTATTGAAAATTATTTTCTTCTTTCTTTCTATACCTTTCCCCTCCCCCTAAACAGGTATCATGGGATCAAGGACATTTTCTGCTATTAAATATAAAAATGAGGTATGGTTTTAGCATATTTACGATTTCAGTATGAATTTCTAATGTGCTTATGACAAAAATGGACATTATTTTAAGGCTGTCTGAAGTATGTATTTAGTATGTTTCTATGAATATATTGCATTATGAATTTAGTTTAAAGACTGGTATCTCCACTCGTAATCCTAACACTTTCATTTATTTTATGTCTTTATATTCTCATTGGTATGGTTCTCTTTTCCATTTCTCACCTTCTCCTCTCCCTAGGCTCTTACCCTAGAAATACAAAACGTGATTTATGGATTTGTCTTCTACCCACCACACTTTTTATGGGAAGAAATTCATTGCTTTAAATGTCTGTTCACATATTGAGCCTGGTTCTCAGATGGCCAGAGCACCCACAAGAACAGCTGAAACTGTGGGAGCTCCCAAATGTTCAATTCCTCTGAAAATCTGGCTAGAAGTTACAGTTTTAAAGGGACATTGTCACAGTTACCTAAAGTGTATGCAATACACATCTGGCTTACAAAACTGTCTAAAAGCCTAATTTATGTAAAGATCTTTAAAAATATATCGAATATAATTTTTGAAAGGATGATTCAGAGAGTTCGTATGTGTCCAGAAGAAAGTGCAGGTCTTAGAACTGAAAATCTCAATAAGCTGAATCATGAAACTATTGAAGTGTTTCAGTCAAGATAGTAGTAACAAAATAAAAAGCAAACAAACAAACAAAAATCCCAAAAGAAGCTCAAAGAAAATAAAGCTTCTTTTTTTGTTGCTTTATTTTGTTTAGTGTGATATTGTCCCTTTAATTCCAAAATCTATAGCTGGTGTAGCTATGGTACTATATTTTTTTCTTTTTAAGTTATAAATAATTGTAACAGGTGTGCACATCTAAATAAGGTGACTATTCTACAATCTTTAGGAAGAGGAAGTAGTCCCACCTCGTCCTCCACTCCCTCGGTCCTATGACTTTACAGAGCATCCTCCCATAATTCCCCCTCTGCCCAGTGATAGCAGCTCCTTGCTCTGTTATAGCAGGGGCCCAGTACATCTGCCAGAAGAAAAGAAGATTCACCAAGTTCAAGGATATCAGAGAAATGGATCTTACTGTGTAAGTGGCTCAAACTGCCACATTGTTCTTGAAGCATCCCCCGTCCTTTGCACAGTCACAGTTTTTATTTTGTCATCCGGCTACTTTTGTGTAATGTTTTTATTTTTGTTTACTTTGTTCTGTTCATAGCTCCATCATTTGCTTTTCACATTTTCCTGCCATATATTCTGTACATATGTAAAATGTCCTAAGACTTAAATGCTTGTATCGGAGTAAATTTTAGAAAATCAGATGCGTCTGCTCATAAGTTTCTATAAAACTCTAGGCTCAGAGTCAGTTTTTGCTGTAGCCTTATACAGGTTTCCTGAAGATCATTTAAAAGGAAAAAAAAAAAAAAACCCTCTGCATTTTTTCTAGCAATTTTTTTTCTCTAATTTCTCAATGTCTGCAAATGTTGTTACTCTAACTACAAAGAAATACTTGAAGCAATAGCACTTGAACAATGAAACGTTGTCTTAAAGTGAGAGCAAAGCTATCATAAAATAACTGTTTTGAGTCTTAAGACATAAATGCTTGTACAGAAATGCCTGTTTATTTACCTCATAACTTGTCGTTCTTCAGGGTCCTGATTATAGGCTTTATAAGAGTGAACCAGAGTTAACTACAGTCGCAGAAGTGGATGAATCTAATGGTGAAGAAAAAACAGAACAAATCTCAGAATCAGATTCTACTGCTAAAGGTTTGTCCCCAGGTCTGGTATTTACAACCTTTCAGCCTTTTTCACAAGGCAAGCTTTAACTATGTTATAGAAGCTATATCATCTTTTGTATTTTTGTAGCCTGCCTGTTTCTTAATAAGATGAAACAGCTTCCATGATAAAATAATGATTTAATTATATGACAAGAAAGATTTTAGTCAATTACACCGCAGAAAAATCAAACATTACACTCACCAACAACCCTGAAATCCTTATTGACACCATGTCTAATCACATCACTCACATTCCCCACACACCATTCCCTGGAACAATTACCCATTTTATGTTCTTGCCCTTGAACAATTACTCAGTTTTTGAATCAAGCTCCCGATGTTATGTCACTGGAACGTCCAAAAAGGCAGCACCACAGAATTTTCAGGCTCTCATAAGGCAGGGAAACAATGTCTTTTTCTTTTTTTAATCTTGTAATTGTTGAATTGCCTTCTGTCCCCTGATATAATAGGAATAATGATCATGACCTTGGAGTGTACAGACAATAAAGGTCTTTGCGATTGCTAAATGCTTTAGATTCTTCTCTTCATCCAGCTTCCACAAAAGCTACTAATTGCTTGGTAGAGTCTTTTACCAGGAAGTGCTTCTCAATTCTGTTTGTTAAAACACACAGAATAGTTTGTTAAAGGTGACTTCATGAAAAGCAGCTTGAGCACCTCCCAAAAAACATATTAAGAGCTTTTAGGAAAAGTAACTAAACTTACCCCTTTTTTTGCCATAACAGTTCGTGTTTCTGCTGCCAGCAAGATCTCTGCCTTCGTTTCTGGTAGTTTGACTAAGCCTGTACATAGCAGGCTGGTGCAACAGTACCAGAATTTAACCAAGAACTGTGATCATATAAGGATATTATTTTCATCAGAACAGTGATGAAAGTTTTTTAAATGAAGGTTAGCACACAGTTTGGGTGTTAACAATGTGAATGGCCCTATGGCACATGCTATAGTTAAGCTTGCATTTACCAGTTAGTCAACTCTGATTTGTGATGGTATTTGCTGAGGTATAATGTTTACTTAAGGTAGATATTAAATTTCTATAAACTTGGTGGTAAAAAATGCAAGGTCTAGCCTGAGATTTGCTAATGCTCAGCCACCTAAATTGAGGAAGTTGCCTTTTTGACATCATCCCTAGGTTTTATTGACCTGTGGTGTTCCAGGTTTTTTTATAGTTATTTATGACAAGAGGGAAAGTAATTTATTAAGACAATAGAAGAAAGCCTATGCTGACTATATAAAGCTAACCAATACTTACTGAGCACCCCAATCTGCTTTCTATCTTCTTCTGTAAGGTCAGAAGTAATTTTACCCATTTGTAGAACAGTCCTCAGTAAGGGAAGACAATAATACAAATAATATTTAGGGGCATGAGAGACAGTAGCTGCAGTGGTAGCAAGCAACAAGAGGCTTTTTATCTTCTTAAACAACAGAGTGAAGTGGGTTTAGTGTAGCTGTGTTTTATCATCTGATCCGTGCTTTTAAGCACATGGATTATCTAACAGATATTTCTTGTTCTGTTCCTACGCAGTCCCCATGCAGTAGGAGAAGTATAACCATCCCTGGTGGCTGGGTTTTTTATAGTGCCTGTGCCATTACAACCAGATGCTGTTTCAACAAGCATTTTTATGCCATTCTATCTGAAGAGTTTGTAAGCTGAAAAGGAACCAAGCTCAAAGGCAGCTCATCTCTACAGTTCTTCTTTCTTGCTATTCTAAGAAGTCATACTTAAATGACATGGCTTCCTAGTCAGAGTGGTTTTAAAAATTAGTAAATTTTAGAAGAAACTTTCAAATGTTTTTCTAGTTTGTTGTGCACACTGCTGTACTAGACACTTCTCTTGTGACTCATTTTCCTCTCCTCTCAAATGTCAACAATGAAAGAGAAATGTTTTCATGGGACTATGTAAAGTAACACTTACAGCTGTCTGCCAGCAGAGGAGTATTTATGACCTGAGCAGTACATAAAGGTGACACAAAAGGAAAACGGACTTCTGCTGTGTTTTATCCTTTTTATGTCTAAAGGAGACACAAACCATTGCTTTGTAGTTGTTTTGAATGATGGATTTGGCATTCAGATACCTCCACACTATTTTGTCAGCCTATCAAACAGTTTAGAGAAGGACTTGAGCCTTCACCAAGTCAATATGTCCTCTTGGTGATCCTGCTCTGGCAGGGGGGTTGGACTAGATGATCTTTCGAGGTCCCTTCCAACCCCTATGATTCTATGATAAGAGCTGTGTAACCTCAGGAAAACCAAGGAGAAGTAATTTGGCTATCAAAGAAGATATTATCTATTTTCTAGGCAAAATCAGCAAGGAAGCAATATTTTTAATAATTTGATTTTGTGCATGTATCAAAAAGCAAAAAGGAAGCAGATGTTATTTCATTGTATCTGTATATCTGATTAAGTTTTAACTTCCTTCAGTTTTATGACAGCTTAATTACATTTTGGCAAGTAGGAAAACTCCTGGTGGATATGGTTACGAGAGACCAAAGGTAGTGGACATCAGTACACAGAACATCCTCAGCTCCCAGCCAGCCAGAGCCCGGCTGCTGCAGTTCCCCATCCCCAAGTACAGCAAGCTGCAAGGCTGAGGACATGGTCCCACGGTGCCCAGCACAGCCACAGCTAACCACAGCAGATAACACAAGCAGGTTTGACACCGGTGCCATTCCAGGCACCAAAGAAACAAGACCAACACTTGCATGAAAGTGGAGCACCACAAGTGGCATGGTCCTGTTCTCACCAGCTACCTGGGCTCAAAGCATGCTGGCTGATCTCGTCCAGATACAGACGTGAGCACACGTGTGCACCCACACAAGCAAGTCCCTCCAAGAGCTGGCAAGACCTGTCTTCATCAGACAACTCTCAGGACCTCTGGCCTCTCCAGTATCTGAATCCTAAACCTCAGGTCTCTTGGACAGCTGGCTCACACACTTTGTAACCTGCTCGCTATCTAGTCTTAAGTTTATTGGCACCTCACAGACAGAATATTCCCCCCAGTAGCAGATCCAGACCTGTGGTCTTTCCAGTAGCCCACGGGCAGACCTGCAGTGTTTCCTGCTGTCTTTTGCCTCTAGACCTATCATCTCTCTGTAGCTGTCTGCTACTTGCAGTCTAGCCTGGCCTGAAGATCACTGGCATCTCCCATGGTCTCCTATGCAGGAGGGAAAGCCTGCTTGCATGGAAAATACTTAAGAATGAAGTTTAAGAAGAAGACAGGGCAGACTGCAGTGCTGAGGCACGGGGCTTGGTCAGACAAGCACACTGACAAACGTCTGGCTGCTTTTATTACTCCTCCTCTCTCATTCTCTGTGCCTGTTCTTTCCCACCTGCCCTGCCCCATCGTTTCTGCGGCCTTTGTTCACTCTCAGATAAACAACTCACCCTTAATTATTTTGTTCACTGGCCCCACTTCTGCTAAATTTTGCATCTTCAGTACTAGGTAAGCTTGGCTGTAACTGGTAGCACTGATACAGCTACCTGGGCACTCCTCTGGCCTTGCAAACTCTATTCCACAAGTCCCCAGTATAGCCATACAGTTAGCTGTGCAGCTTGGCCATCTTTCACCTATTTCCCTTAACCCTCTGTGAAATCTAGGCATTCCACACAGCACTGTCTTAATGTTTGTCTCTTGCACACTGACAAAAGTTTGTATTTGTATTTTTATGTCTAGCAATTTCTCTTGCCATGTGCAGTAGTTTCCCATGCCATTCAGTTAACTAAACCTCAGGCCAGGGCTAGTCATCTGCCTGCATACCTTAACAGATCTGATAGTTAGGCATCAAGATCTTTGCTGTCCTTTGAAGAATGGTTCCTATGTCTGACAACATGTACTTTCTACAACACAGTAAGCTGTTTGGGCAATATTTTTCAGAGTGCTTGGTATAGTGCTTTACTCTTTTGCAGGCTCACATTTTCCTGTGGGAGTTGTACCACCCAGAACCAAATCACCAACACCAGAGTCTTCAACAATAGCATCCTATGTCACTTTGAGGAAGAATAAGAAGATGGATCTAAGAACGGTACTTAAAAATAACTTTTGAACACTGATGGATAGTAACATGTTCATTTCTAAGTTTAATTTCTGTAGTTACTTCAAAAGTTGTAGTTATATTTTTAATTTTATTTACACAAAATTCACTGTTACAAAAATATAATATACTAGGTTAATGGAGGCAGCTGTAGAATGAATGACAAAACTGCAAAGGTCACATATGTTAAACTGCACACAGATTTCACTGTACTCAAACTGGGCAAGAACTAAATAGGAATAAGTACAAAGCTACTCAAGTTCATGTTTGAGTTGAGAGGACAGGAAGTATCTTAGGTTAAAACTTTTGAAGGACTTATATTTGGCTTCTGGGGCGATTTAACAGCCTTTGTATAAGAAATATTGGGTTTATTCATTTTATCACTAAAGTTATTCGTGAAAAAACTAAAACAGCCAGAAAATAAGGCTGCAATAAGCAATGGGTCACTAATAACACTGAAATCTCAGATTAGAGAGTCCTGTAGTCTCAGGGTTGAAGAAGAGGTTTGTAGTTCAGGCAAAAGAAGGGAAAAGTTCTGCAGTAGTTGCAGCATGAGTAGAAGAGAAGTTGTAGGAAGAATGGGATAGAAGAGAGAGAAAATCACAAGATGTTAATTGGGGAAAGGATACCACTTTTCATGAGTGAAATCAGATACTGTGAATGTACTGAATGCAGCTGATTAGCCAGAAGGCATTTTTTTTCTGTTGTACGAAGTACAGAACTACCTGAAAATCAGTGAATTTCAAGAACAGAGTAGGTAAAGTGATGGTTGTTATTTTGGGAATAATAAGATGCTTAGAATTACAGATTTTTAAGTGGTGATAAATTCATAAAATCATATGGGTTGGAAAAGACCTTTAAGACCATCAAATCCAACCACAAACCTTACACTGCCAAGTCCACCACTAAACCATGTCCCTGAGCACCTCATCTACACATCTTTTAAATACCTCCAGGGATGGTGACTCAGCCACTTCTCTGGGCAGCCTGTTCCAAGGTTTGATAACACTTTTGGTGAAGAAGTATTTCCTGATATCCAATCTCAACCTCCCCTAGTGCAACTTGAGGCCATTTAGGTTTGTTTTGTACTATGCTTGCTATTAGTGTTGCCCATCTGTACTTTTTCTTGGAATAAAACAGCTATTTTATTTACATTTTATTTACTTGTAATAAAATGGCTATTTTCTAAGAGATCAGTATTAGATCAACTGGTATAAATGTCCTGGATCATTAAATTTTGATTATACTTCTGTCTCAGTCAAGTAACTTGTGTTTGCCTATTGTGTAATGTCAGGTAAATTGTTTCAACATGATAGGATGCCTTTGAGAGAGCATCTACCCATTCTCTTAATGTTTATCCCTGGTGGTAATAATGTCATGGTTCAAAAAAGCAAATTATTCCTTTTATTTTAAATTTCAGTGTTCATTTATTAATGATTGGTTCTTGCACTTTCTTCACAAACATTGGAGATATTTAATTGCCTGCTATTTTTCAGCTTTTTTAGTACATCATTAGGTAATCTTTCCTGGTAAGCTAAATGGTTTAGAATCTTGCCTTTTCAAAAACAAATATATATGTTCTTCCATTTCAGGAAAGACCAAGGAGTGCAGTGGAGCAGCTGTGCCTTGCAGAAAGCACACGGCCGCGAATGACGGTGGAGGAACAGATGGAAAGAATAAAGAGACACCAACAAGCCTGCCTGAGAGAGAAGAGAAAAGGACTAAGTATTATTGGCATTTCAGACCAGTCTCCTCCACAGAGCCTGTCATTGGTCAAAGATAATCCCTTCAGATTGGTACAGGTGAGTCCCACATTATTGAAAACTTCAAGATGTCCAATTAAAAAAAAAAAAAAATTACTAAATTTTTCCAAAATCACACTATAGGTGTGTATTTGAGACTGTACAGAGTAACAGTCACAATTCTCTGCCATACACAAGAGAAAGGGCGAAGACAATCCTTATGCTTATACCTAAGAATAGTAGGTATAAGATTGTCTTTATGGAAAACAAATAGTTCAGATTTACATATGTTTGATTATGCATTGTTATGTTTGTCAACAGGTTTGTCAAATTTAGCAAACAACATGAAATTGAAAGCTTTGTGACTTAAAAGCTGTGTCAGGGAGAGTCATGATTTAGCTGATGTATAAATTATGAAAATTTCCTGCCAGGTAATATATTCAAACAGCTGTAGCATTTTTAGGTAGGAATATATATTTGTAATGATAGCTCATAACTGGTGCTCTTTTGCTGTGGTTCTCAGCCCATAAATACATAAAATAGAATGAGTGGGAAACAACAGTGATTTGTTTTCACCCATTCTTAAACAGTTAAGGCAAAGAAGTGAGTTTATTAAATGCTAAGGGTGGGGAAAGAGGAGGAAGATGTAATTGCTTGTACATTTCAGGGTATTTCCTGATCAATGACATCTGAAAAAAAAACCAAACCCCAACTAACAAACAAAAAAAAGCCCCACACTATTTCAGGACAAAATATTAAATAGATTCATGACACGTGGATGTTAGACACCCTGCTACTTTCTAACTGCTAAGAATTAGTTTTCTTTTTCAAAGCCTAAATGGAGTTATCTTTTTTTAATCTCCTGACATATTTTTTTTCCTCAGACCACACTTTTGGATTTTTTTTTTTTTTGACAGTGACATGTAATATTTTATGATTTATACACATCTAAACATTTGATTTTCCAAAACCAGTTTAAATGCATGGCACTGTTAAGAAGTCATATATTCCCAAGTAAGTTTTAGGTTTGATTTCTTTTTTTTTTTTTAACTGAGTCTGCTAAACTGCCTCCAGAGCTATATGAAAGATACTTTTCCTTCAGTAACATTGGATCTTCTGAAGACACTGAATTGGAGTTCTGCGTTTGCATCAGAGCATCTGTATTTGGGATGACATGAATGCTCTATATGAAGGGGAGTCCTACAAATGTTTTTGTGATTAGCACTGCCTTTCTCAAGAAGAGGATGTGCAGAGCAAAGCTTTGTAGATGTTTCTTTTCATAGTTTTTACAAATGTGTTTGAGCTTTACCACTTTCCTGTGGCAGCATTTCATACCTCGAGGTGAGGAAGCTGCAGTCATTTGTGTCTCACACTTGGTTAGGCAGCACGTTGGGAGTGGAGTGGGGGAAGTGGCCAAATCCTCTGCCAGAAATACTTGCTGTACAGAACGCAACAGAATTTTGTTCATGTCAGCATGTTCTTCAGCCTTCTGTGTGAAATCAGTGCTATGTGGATGAGATAAGAAATATGGATTGAGAACATGTCTTAATTGAATATTTTGCTAGTAGTCCATGCCACAAAGTCACTTTTTCTATCACAACTTTAATTCTTCCAGAATGCTATTTGGCAAAAAGGCCTAAGATAAGGTATGACACTTTTTAATAGCTCTTTTTTTTTTAAAATGTATAGTTTCTATGCCTGTTGATTTTTATACAGAAAAATGATGCCATGGCATTAACTGCTGGAAGACTTTTCAGTTTGGGTTTGGTTAAGAATTGGAGGAAAAAAGGAACTTTATCAACAGCCTATTGTGTAATTTTTAAATGATTACCAAAATAAAAAAGGAGATTGTTTCACAATTGTTATTGTTTGGGACAAGTGTATGGCATGGGTTCATGCTTTAGTTAGGGAAGTAAATAAATTGTGAAATGACTTACATGGAATTTCCTCTTGACAGTGTATGTGCTAAATCACAGGAGTTCAGCCACAAGACTTGCTGCTTTCACAGCTCCTGTTTTGCTCAGCCCTCCTACTTAATTTGATAAGACTTACATGAACTAGAGTTTGGTTTGGTACTCTGCTAACACAATATTCACAGTTCAGAGTCTTAAGTCACCTCTACCACCCCTCCTCAAAATTTTTATATCAAATTATTCTCTGTGAAATGGATTTTTTTTTTTTTTTTTTTTTAAAGGAGTAAGTAACATCCTCTGCCATCATCAAGATGCTATGTTGTCCTCTGTTAAATAGGTTAACAGCATAGGCTGGGAATATTTCCAAAATGATTGGAGAATTCCAGGTGCACTGTGAATTTTGTACTGAGAACAGATTTGTATCCATCTCATTTTTACAAGGAAAAGCTATTTTTAAAAAAACTCAGTGCTTATGAATGCAAATAAAAACGCTACTTAAGCCTGTGTCTAACTAAGCAAAATATGAATGACGCTTCAGAAGATAAAAGGTGACTAATAGAAATGCTGGAGATAGTATGGAGGGCAGCACAGGAAGTACAGTAATCTTACAGAGAAAAAAAAATATTAGGCTGGACTGTTTTGAAAGGTACAAAAATGAGAAAATTCTAGGTCCTTAAAAAATTCCATTTTCCTTAGTGCTATATGGTGTACTGGTTTTTTTTAACACAGAGGACAAGCAAGGCTCAGAACTGAGACTGTGATAACTTTTGTAAGAATACATGTATGTCTGTATCAATTTCCTCCCACAGAATCGAAAAAAGGATGATACTGTATCTAGCAACATGAAGGATTTAGAGAGCACCAATAAAGAATATAATTTGAAACAAAAAAATCGAAATCCTGCAGAAGAAATAGCACAGCTAAAACGTGATGGAGAACAAGAGCATAATTCAGATTATACTAAAGAGGTACTAAACTATCCCTTACTCAGCTGTTCATCAGCCTGTCTTGCAGTATTCTGAGCCACAGACAGCAGAGTATGGAAAATTGAACCAGCTCCTTTTGCTTGGAAGATTCAAATTTCTTTTTGATACAAGAAATACTCTACAGAGAAGCACAGAATTGTGTCAGATCCATCTGTAGCACAGATATTGAATTTTCTTACATATGTTCTTCCTGAATTTCATTTTACTTCATCCATTGCTCTCTTGATTTATTGACAAATTACAAAATTATAGTCTTTACTTCTTTGGAAACAAAACCAATACTAATTAATCTTTAAATGATATTCATTGATCTGTTCATTGCTTAGGGTATCCCAGTGTAGCTTTTGACAGTCACTTCATACAACTGATGCTTTTTTGTTTGGTTGGTGTCGTGGCTATACTGCATGAAATAGTTTATAGAAAGCAGAACGAAGCTGCCACAACAATTGTAACATGGAAGCAGGCAGTGGAAGTTTGTGCTCTTTGGTCACTGGGTTGATTTCTGTCTGGAAATGGTCTCAAACTCCCTTCGCAATTAAGTGTGCAAATCTTAAAAAAGGGATCTTAAGTCTTAAAAAGGACAATTATGTCTTACATTTGTATTGGTTACATCTAATGAGACATTTAACAGCAGTGTTCAGGCTTATCAGCAATGTATTCCACTAGCTGGAATCTCTGTTGGCATTGTGAAGGGAGGAATAGCATGAAAAAACAGGCAGGCTGCAATACGAAGAGTTCAGATAAGATCTGGAAGTTATTAAGCCAAGCCCTGCCCATTGGCTCTGGTAGTTTCAGGATAACTCTATTAACCTGAATGGTATTGATAAAAATTTCTTAAGTTACGTAATTCTGAGTTACTAAGTATACATGATGGCAAAATTTGTCTGTTAATAAAACTGTTTCCTGATACTGTATTTCTTATCTGCCAACTTAATATGTGTTACAGCTTTTTGTTTCATGATTTCAATTTTTTTATAGCTGACAAAAACTGATGATCTTTTATCAGATGCACATGTTGTATCTGACTCAAAAGAAGTGAGTAATGAGGAGAAATCAGAAAAGGAAAAGAAAACTAAATTGGAAGAAATACATGATGGTGATATAAGGTAAAAATAAAACAAGATGTTCAGAGGCTATTTTAAACTTGCACGTTGTATTTATTAGCTGAATGGACCAAGCAAATAATGAAACACTGCCATAAATACCTATATATTTATATGGTTTTGAGTGGGTTACATATAGAGAAGTCTAGTGAGAAACTGAACCAGTGTGGGGGTTTGGTAAGAGGTGATGAGTTGGTGAGTGAAGCAATGTTTATTTGCAGGTATTGCCCCAGTTATAAACAGAACAGGTTCATAATCCTTGCTTTGGGATGCAAAATGTATTTAGTAATGTCAGTTCAAGGCTTGACACAGCTTCCAGAGTAAGCTCTTTACTGCTGAGATTTTGAAGCAGACTAAATAGCTTATTCTGTATCTCCTGCTTTAACTTTTACTTCACTATTTTGGAGCATTGCAGAATTAGAGGAATGTTGTGTCTTGGATATTCCTCTTTAAAGATTAACCATTTTAGTCCAGATCCTAACTGAGTTACGTCATAAGTTTCTCACAGTACCCTTTATTTTTTGTTTTAAAGTCTAACTTTACAAGGTAGAAGGTTTTCAAAATATATGCTTAATTTATATTATACAAACTTGCAAGTTGAAACTCTTTTCTGTTAACAGAAGAAAATTAAATTGTAGCTCTTATACTTAGTGGTTAACACCTGAAATTAAGTTAGAGCAAGTTCTAAATGCTGTGCTTTTTTTAACCAGCTTGCAGAGTGTGACCACAATTACAAACCACAAACCTAAAACCAGCTCAGAAGAAAGTGGAGTAGTTAGTGTTCAAGAAGAAGAAGGGATTACATCTTCATTTGAATTAGCAGCACAGTCTTCAAAAGGAAATCAGGCAACAGCAGGTATGGAAAAGCACAACTACCACAGTACATGTGTAAACTTTTTATTTCATTTTGATTATGTCTTTTGATGCTCTGAAAGTGCTGAGCTAGTCTAGATAGCAAGTGTATGGTTTTATAATGTAGAGAAAAACAGCTTCCCAGATGATAACTACAGAAATTCCATTTTCTGAAGTTTTCATTTACATTTTATGATTGCATTTAATTCAGGGAATTACATAACTATTGCCAGAAATGGAGTCATACTATAGTTACTTGTTGGAACAAATCCTTACCTATTCATCTTGTAGAACAGCAGCACAATTGTGGATATGTATAGATAATTTACCCTTACCTCTGTGCCAATGGGTGGCCTCAGGTATGGCCAAGATTGAGAAATCCATGAGATTTTCCAATACTTCTGGTAGATTTTGAACTAACAAGTAAAAGACAGTAGTTGGGTCACTTTTCAGGAGTAAGACAGATTAAAAAACAAACAAACAAACAAACAAACAAGAAAACACTAGCTGACTCGTAAACAACTCCTTTGCAAAAAGAGAATGCTGAAACAAAGAAAATTGTTTCCTAAGAGGAAAAAAAAGATTCTGAGTGTGTAGGGGAGGAGGAGGGAAGAAGATAGAATATCAGATATTAGGATAATTTGGTGATGAGACTGGTTAAGTAAGCCAAATAGTTCAATTTATGGATATGAAAGGTGACCTGGACTTGTAAATACATTTTAAAGTGCTCAGCAGAATAAAAAATGCTTAGTTAATCTGAGCTGGGATCTAAAGATGAATCTGGGAGTATCCCAGCTTGTTAAGTTTTGCGTTTTTTGGTTTTTTTCTCTCACTCTCTTTGCAACACAAATAACACATCAGCATTCATGTGTCCACTGGTTGTCCCTTTGGTGTTCTACTCATTTCTAGGCCTGAGTGATGATCTTTCTTGTTAACAGCTATGTTCTGAAGTTGTGCTTATTGTGCTAATCAGATCTTAAGTCTTCTATATGTGTAACTTCCATTTGGTTTTGCTTCTATTTATTATGGCTTGAAATGATGATTTTCAAGCTTATCTTTATTATGACTTCAAATCATGCCTTATGTAACTTGTGTTCTTCTTTATCCTGCTGTATGACTTGCAGTGAAAAGTTTACCTTCTTCACCAGAATCGTCACTGTCACCAGCTCCATCTACACAGACACAGCTCACAGAAGGATCACATTTCATGTGTGTATAGTTACAGAGAAGTACGTCTTTTATTCCCACCCCTCCTGTCATTTCCCTAATATTTTTCTAAGTATATATATCCTAGTTATTTTTCTAAGAAACATCTGTTAGGCAAGACAGTTATCTGCAATGCTGAGTACAAACTAGCTAGAAAACAAAACAAATAGATGTATTGATTTGCTTGCAACTGATATATTCTCTATCCAAGCACAAAGAGAAAGGATTAATTGGCTTATCAAGCACATACTCCACAACTGGCAAGTTAATAGCCCTTTGAATTTCATGAGAGACCTAAGCTGTTACAAAACAGATACCCAGTTAAGGGGTGAGCATCAGTGCTTGGCTGCAAATGAATCTTGATGCTTCAGTCATGGTAAGAGACAAGCAGAGCTAGATCTCTTAGTGATGCATAGGAGAGCCAGAAGAGTTCAGGACTTAAGATATGCATGACTGAGGCGTGACAGACAAGAAGGGGAAAAATGGGGGTGGAAGAAATATAACAATTATAGAACTTTTCTTTTTTTGTATAGAGATAGCCTTACACATCTTGTCTTCCCTTGTCATAATAGGTGATTTCTAGGAATCAGGTTAGAAAGCAAAACATATTTTGTATATTCCTACCCTTAGTGTTACCTATTTAATGAATGGAAATGGAAACACAAGTAAGCATATTTATTTATACAAGTGTTTAAAGAAATGACTAGGATACCTGTGTGAATGCTGCAGCACTTCACCAGCATTTAAATCAATCCACGTGTCTTTGTTGTCAGGAAGTACCTGTTTTAAATAAGCTTTCTACTGAAAGAATGAGCGTTGTTTCAGTGGGAATGTTAAATGCCATCGCTAATGTTGCTTAAGAAAACTTTAAAATCAAGAAGTTTTCATTTATTTATTCAGAGGAGATCTGAAACTGCATTTTGCCACTTATTGTCCTAGTCTCCATTGCCAAGATTTATCTTAGCAAAATTGACTTCATATTCACCACAGACACCTTTCTGGTATGAACTACAGGCAGGAAACTTTCTATATTCTTTAAAAATAAAAAAAAGGAAATTTTTTTCTCCTTTTGAGAGAGTGGAAAACACACTCCTCACATTCAGTACTGACACCGGTGTTGCGGGCTTCCTGATGGATGTGGTCTGTCATGATTAGGTTTATGTTGGACTTCTGTAATTTTATTCAAAAATTTAATTACAGAACTATTTAAAAAAAGATAAGCGGGAGTGTTCAGTTTTCTGGAAATACTGATTTTTGTTAATGCTTTTCAGTTTCACTGTTTAAATACACATGCATTTATCATGCATCTTCTTTTTAAATAGGACAGACATGACCCCATCAACTCAGTTTCAGGTCTGCAGTGAAACTGAAACTGCACTGCTGAATTCTGTCTGTAGCCTCAGCATGCCTCTCTAGAAAGGGGAAGCAGCCTAGAACTTCACCAGGAATTTACTGCCAATTACCTCAGTTCCTTTCAGCTCTTGTCATCAGCTCAAATACTCAGTAAATTAAAGTTTTGTAAAGGTTTATGCTAAATATGTGAGCAACAAAAGTGAAACGCTCATAGCTTAATGCTCAAGCCTTGACTTCCCACAGCGTGGTCTGTCCTCACAGGTAATATTGTACCTGTAACATTTCTCTCTTAAATAGCATTCTACAAACAGGCCCTTAGGTGCTCATGACAAAACAGTGTGTTTGGGATGGCACGTGGAAAACTCACGTTTTGCTTACACCTACTTCACTGCAACAGTGAAGGGATTCCAGAACTTAAAATACATCCCTTTGGGCTGGTCAGTATTGGAACTGAACTGGGAAAAACAATCCACTAATGTGCATGTACATTCCACATTTCTTTGCTGCACTTGATGTTGGTTGTTTCCTAGGAGCTCCGAAGCAAATGCGTGCCGTGAGCTGGGCTTAGGGTAGGTGGGAAGCCCAGTCTGCTTGCCCACAGTATGTACTGTCCCTCACCTCCTGGGGCTGCCGTTCCAGTCCTGCAGTGCCTTGTGCTTTGCTGGCAGATAGGTCTGGTAACGTGGGAGAGCTCAAGGATCTCTCAGATGCAAGAAATCCTGTGCAGCAGTGGGAACTTCAGAGCTGTGGGATCAGCCCTGTTCAGTATGCAACCAAATTTTTCAGGCAGCATCTGGAAAATGTATGGTAGATTTCAGAGAATAATGAGGTAATACCTATATTTGGCTTTTATGGTCAATTAGTAAAATAATACTCTTGGCATGGTGCCAGGGGGATTTGGCATAAGAAATTGGTGGCATAGGATACTGCAGGACTAAGTTAAAACCCATGAACACAAAGCTGCTTTCTTGGACACGGCCCTTGCTTTGCAGAGACAAGTCTGGGTGTGTGTCACTACTGTTGTGACATTTTAAGCATTACATTTGCACTGAGTAATGGAGGGCTGGTGACATTTTATACAGCACCTGGATCCAAAGCTCAGAAACATTTTTACTAACAAACTGTTAAAAGCTATTTATAGAAGTCCTTCCAGCAGCTACCAAAATGCAGCAAGCTCTGGGTGGAGCACTCCAACTTCAGAACACCTTACTGCTCTGCTGCCCTTCCAGTGTAGCAATTGAACAATACTGCATCCCTCTTCAAACCAGGCCTGCCTCTCATTTCTAAGAGCAATTAGGGTCCTTGCCATTATTATGTGTTTTATATGAAGAACATTTGGAGGTGCCCATGTAGGACAGGATAAAACTCTAAGAACAAACAGGCTTTTGTATGAAGTCATGTAAATTAGAAAAAAAGGTTGCTTTTCCTTCTTGCTGTCAGAGTATCTTGGCAGCAGTATCAGGAAAACTGATTTTGGAAACAACTGATTTATAAAATATTTTATGTTCTACACCGTTGCTCACTGCTGCTAGGGTAAGGAAGTTTCTTGCTATGTTTAATTCCAGGAGTTGCTTTGTACAATATTCTGTTGTTGCTAAAATAGAGTAACTGAATCTGTGTCTGTCTTTCAGCACTAATGGCTTCTGTTGAAACAATTCATGCCTGAGATGTATGGACGTGACCTATGAAAATGAGAAGATATTGTACAGTATATTTTAAATCTATGAAATTCATAGTTCTGATGCTTTTGGCCACAGAGCATCATTTTATCACTTCCTGGAAAATGTTTATTCCAAGAGAGCTTTAAATGGCCCACATGTACACTCAACAACCTTCAGATTGTTCTCCTGATACCAGCTTGCTGCTATGATTTCTGTGCACATAAAATAAAAGCTGTTTTTAATGTGCAGCCTACAGTCACAATTTTATTTGGTATTCTCCAGAATTTAATGTTCTTTTAATGATGGATCATATAAGTTTACATTTTGCTTCTTTCACATGCATAACTCAGTTAATTTTACATATCACCACTAAACCTGGTTCTACACTTTTTCAACACTACAATTTATCGCTTTAACATTTTATTTGTAAAGGTTTTTTTATATATATATACATATAGATATATTTAAAATGTGCCATTTTTATTATTGCTTAGTAAAATATGTCCTGTTTCTGCTGTAATTATTTCTTGGTCAGGTTGCAATGTCAGCAGTTATACTGCCACACTTCTGTCAGCATATACATTAATGTTAGTGGTTACTTTTTCTTAAATAAAATGAAGTGTAGGTATTTTGAGGTACTGGGCTTTTCCTTTGTTGGGTTAGGGGTGTGTACAGCAATAAGCAGGTTTTCAATCCAGTACTTGGTCTGTGTACAAATGTAATTATGTTCATTGTGTATATTTTATACAATGAGCAGATACGATGTAAGTATAAGAAGCCACTTATTGTTCAAATACAAATGTTCATATCCCATTTCTTTTATATCATATTAAATAAATGTTGATGTTCTTAAGGACTTGTATGGTTAGTATTTCTTCCAGCAAACAGATGTCACACTGTGTTCCACCTTTTGATGTGGGGAACGCAACAGTTCTTATCTCACTGGCAACATCACCTGTCAACCAGAGTAGCAGTGGCAGACTCTTAAGAGATTCCAGTCTTCCTCCACAGGAGAGAATAAGGCTGCAGCACAGCACAAAAAGACAACCTGAGGCTGAGACGCAAGAAATACAGGTTCAGCTCCTGACTCTCCCAGACTGGTATCATGGTGTTGGAGTAATCACTTAGTCATTCTGTGCCTCCATCCCCTGCCTGTTTACTTGAGAGGTAATAGCCTGTCTTACTGGGGTGTGGCGAGTAGTAGTTCAGTGTTTGCAAATGTTGAATGCCACATTCAGTGGGGTTATGGAGAGAAGTACAGTGATTTCTTGAGGCTTTGGCATCTGCAAAGCATCTTCCAGGAACTGAAAGAAAACCTGAAATAATTTGTCAAGTGTCATCGTACTACAGATGTTACTAGATTCACTTCTCCATCTGTCTGAATTTGCCTGAGACAAAAGAGGTTTAGAAACGAATGATGAAAAATGGAAAGATTTAAGGGAAAGCTTTTGAATCTAGGATGTAAAGCTAGGAAACATTTTAAAGGTTCAGGCAACTGCTGTGTGCTTCAGTGCATGTGTGTGCCATAAGTGGTAAGGCAGGTTTCCTAAGAGGACGACTGCCCGCTCCTGTTGTGCGTTATCACACAAATCATACCTTGTTCAAGTCAATATTGCTGTGCTAAAGACTATATAATCCATTGTCCTTTTCCGTAGAGGAGTGCCTGAGACTGACAGACACTTTGAAACTAACTCTGTTGTTGCCCCCTAAGTAGGGGTCGGTGTTCCTTGTACTCTTCTGCCACTCCCCTCTCTGCTGCCAGTTCTTCCTGGAGCTCCTCGCCACAACTGCCTGCCTGTCATTGTGCCATTTTCTTGGAGAAGTGAAGAAACAGTGAGCAGAATTTAGCATCAGGGCTTTGAGGGATCGTAGTGAAAGACGTAGTTCAAGGAAAGAAGATGAATCCTGATGCAGGCAGACGGCTTTCAGCTAAAGTTTTACCAACTAGCCTTTCTTCTTTTCTTGGAACAGTCAGTAGCTCTAAGTTAGTGCATCCTTCCAAAACACAGAGCACAGAGGAGGAATGTGATTTTTATTTTATTTTTATTCCTCGATGCACTGAGGTTTAAGTTCAGTGGCATCACTGGAACAGCTGGGGCAAAACAAATAGGACACACCCTGTTCTCTCCTTAACCCTTTGAAAGAGAAGCTGTTCAGCTGTCAACCTTTGCAATCCCTTCCTCTCCTTGCTGCCAAGAAAGGAATTGCAACCAATAAAGGAAAGAATGACTAAGTGATTTTGGGGCATTTATAGAACTTGTCTGCATGTAAAGCAGTTGTCAGTTTGGCGTTGCTGTGAAGGACGTGCAGTTTATACTGAAGCTGGGGGAGGGTGGGAGAAGTGGCAAGTTTTTGCTGGTACAACTGTTGGCAAATGTGGCAAACATAAACGATGCAGGAATGTACTAATGCCCACAGACTGTCATGTCACTTCCTGCGGGCACTTGCAGCAAAGACTTGCAGTTTCATTGGGTGCTCTATATTTTTTGTCTTATGGAAAAAAATGTGTGGCTTTGTGTTATCACAGAGCATCTACTGTCTTTTACCTCGTCAGAATAACTCAACCCAGTGGTCATACTCCTGAGACACAGAAATATCAGAATACTGATATTGTCAGCCTTCAAGCATCTATTTTAAGTTTGTATCTAGGATATTTTTATATTCCTGACTGCTTTATTGGCTATTGCACTGACAATTGTATATATGGAACGTGCTTTTTTTCAAAAGCAAGAGTCCTTAGGAATAATGCAACACATTCTCTACAGATGTTCATGCTTTTCAGAACCAATTACATCTATTTTTGTCTTTTGTTCACCATTCGCATTGTTCCAAGACTACTAGAGAATGTGATTCTTATAAGTCCCTTAATAAAGTGACATGACTCAAAAAGTTATAGTTGGTGTCGTGGCAGTTTTTGTATGTCGTGGACTGGCTCAAAGAGAAAGACCTCACTAGGCAGCTGAAACCCCAGCCTTGTTTATATTATTACTGGGGGAGAGAGAGGGGGGGAGTCGTCCTCAGATACTATTTCCTCATACATATATCTGTCATTAAATGAATTCAATAAGGTTCTATTTTCAGGAAATCAGAAAAATTTTAAGCAGTTCATTTCCATCTAAATCACTTTAATTGGACAGTCTGGCAAAGAATTATTACCCACCCTATTGGATCCACTAGATGTAATAACCAGGAGTACATACATGAAAAATGTTAATGGATTGGACTGTTAGTAATGATCTAGTACCTGGACTGGTGGCTGAAGTCATATCCTGGTTGCATAAAGCAGCAGAGTGGAAGATTTTCAATCAGTGGTGGCCCTGGATAACAAACTTTTCATTATATTATAACAATGGGGGGGGGTGTTTTTTCTTTTCTAATAAAACAGAAATAGTACTTACTATTAATAACAGATAGTACTTACTAATAGCACTTACTCAGATTTGAGAAGTGGGTCATCCTGTCTTTTCTGCATGATATCTTTTTGTCCCTGTGATCCTGAATTTTGCTATACTTAACTTCTGTATGTTATTCTAGAGTAGTTTAATCTTATTTCAGTTTGACTCCTCAGTTAAAATGTTATTTTCCGTCCTTTGAAAGTTGACATTTAAATGGCCGATGAACAAATTGCCTATACCTGGGATTAATAATGTATCTGAAACAATTTAACTTTTTTAAGGATGCACGTGAAGATAACAAAGCAACATCTGGCCTTCATTTCTTCTGAAGAACATTATATATACTTGCTTTATATCCTTGGAGCTGTTTAGCTTGTCCATATGGGAACACTGAAGAAGCTGCTACAAAATAAAATGGAATATACTGGTGGGTGAAAGCAAATGTCTGGTCTAAAATGAAGGCTAAAAGCAGCTGCTTTCTGAACTTGACACGCACAACTTGTTCCCCAGCTGTTCCAGATGTGTCAGTATTCAAATGTTACGTGTGGAATGAAGTTGGGTTGGGTTTTTTTGGTGGTGGTGTATCCCCATTCTGTCGTATGCCACAGAAAATCTTTTTAAGGTCTGTCTAAATATTCTAGCTGCTGTTGTGAAACTGCAAGCAACTCTTAAGTGTAGCTATGTGTGAGTAACATCACCACAGTGGCTGCTCATTGGCTAACGTGGCAGTCTTGCTACAGATGTGTTTAAGAACACTTATTTAGGCTGGCTTAGGCTCTGTTTGGAATAAAAGAAAAACCTTTGAGCAAATGATGCTGTTTTCCAGTGGACTGCTGTTGAGTGTATCGGGACAAAAACAGATGTGATCTCATTAACTTCTTTATTGCTGAAACCAAACCTAAAATAAGGAATTAATTTTTTGTCAAATTCTAACCAGATCCCTGTTCTATGGAACGGCAATACTTCAAAGAATTTCAGACTAAAAATAGAAACACCCTCTTCCTCTTTCAAAGGTGAAAGAAGTACTGTTGAAAAAGAAAAAAAAAGAAAAAAAAAAAAAACCTGCAGGGTCTGCTAAGTTTTGAACAAGGAAGATTTACTTATAGCCTAGAGATCTGGTCAATGGAAACTTTCAGAAAAATATCTGATCCTCCATCTGTTGTCACCTGGTAGTTTTCCTGAATCACAGTGAAGTGACTGGCACTGTCCAGGACTTCCTTCTGCAACTTTAAATCCACTTCAGCCCAATGTGTAAAATATTCTGCATTCCTTGTATGGAGAAAAAAATGCCATGCCCGTACAACAGCTGTCTGTCCTTGCATAGGCAGCTGGGTCCAAGCCACCAGTTTCTTGCTTGAAATTGCTACAAACTGCAGGTGCTCAGCATCTTGAAAGATCAAGCTCAAGGCATATGATGGGAGGCACCCAACATTTCCAAGTAACTTGCATGTGAATCTACCTTATTTTCAGCAATAGAATCTATTTAGAAGGGAGAAAAAAAAAGTTTAAAAAGTACTAATCCCTTTACTAGAAATCAAATAATTATTAGCTACAAATATATAAGAATTTGAGAAAATTGTCTTTAACTGGCAAGAGTACATTTCAAATTGCTTGGAAAAAAACCTGCAAAATTCAGCGACTCAACCCAAAAATCGCCTCTTCATGATACAAATTCTGCTGAGTCTTGAGACTGAGTACAAGTGCAGTCGATTGCTCTCCATTGTGCAAGTTTCTTCTTTGTAAAATCCCAAATCGTCAGGAATGTGGGGGCTGCTTCAGATGTTTTGGCTTGAAAGATGAGTGATTGATTTTGTTATGTTTTGTTTTCATGCTCATCCACCAGTCTTGGAAACAGCCATTAGTGGCTATTGCTTTTATTCTTTTTATACACTGAAATGGTCATATCTAGACAGAGGAAGAAGAAAGATTCTGATGTTTGCTGCTATTTGGTGTTTGATTTCTGGCTGCCTGGACACTGTCTCAAAGAGTTGACACATGCAGGGGCTGGTGCTGCACGGAAGCCAGCTTGTGTCTGAGCGAGGACTATCTGAGGGGTTCATTTTGTGAGCTGGGAGATTGACTGGAACCCTGGGATTGTTTGCTCTAAAGCACCTTTGTGTAACATTCCTGGCTGTTTTCTTAGCCTATGCCCACATGCCCATAATATTTTGTAATTACAGTTTCTAGTACACTATGCCTACAAATAATAAATATTTTTAATAAAGACAGAGTTCTTGGATAATATGTGAGGTCGTGACTGCTATTTACAAGGTACTAGTTACTAAATAAAGAACCAGCCTCAACCACTTACGAGATTGTGTTAGTGAAGAGGAGTTGGTCAATACTCCAATTGCAATATTGGGAAAACCATATGTGCTTATATAATCTGAAACCTTGGGATGGTTGGGGGAAGGGGGAGAACTGCTCTGAACTCACAGCATTTATTTTA